AAAAACACTTTAAAATGATTTTCTTCTTATAAGTGTAAAAAATAAAATCAAAGACAAAGAAAATAAACAATAGAAAAGTTTTTTTTCACCAGGGTTACCTCTACAAAAATAATTGACATTTATGATGTGACCAACTGTTTAACTGTGATTTATTCCCTGACAAGAATCAAGATATTTTAAGAATGTTTGTTTTAACCATCTTAAATGAACTCAAACTCTAAACTTCATTTTATCTTATTGTAAATGAATAATAAACAAATCTCCTCTTGCTAAATGATGAAATAATAAATAAAAACTGTCTAAATCACCACTGAGATTAAAGTTTAAATGTTTTTTTTCCTCAGCTTTAATCTTGTTACTTTAAAGTAAAGAGCCTGAATGTATTTTTTCACAACTAATTATGTTCTGCAGCAAATTATCATTTTTTTCTGAGTTTATCCTTTTATAAGTGAAGTACAAACACTCAGTGTTCAAGCTAAATGGAGGCAGTCACATTTTACACACCTTACAGGTATTTACAGACATGTTTTCACTTCATAATGAAGTTGATGAAAGAAGCTGCAGGAAAAAGTTTGAGAAACTAAACTTTAAGTAGAGAACTGTCCCACTGACCTCATCATCTAACTCTGAAGTCTGCAACACTTTGGATGAACATCAGTAAAAAAGAGAAAATGCTTTTCTATATTCAGTATTTGCACAACCTTAAAAAGAGCACATGCATTCTCTCAGGGAATRCTAGGTCTTTTAAGGAAAATGTTTTTAGAGGTAAAATGTTGTGAAATGTTGAAAACTGGCTGAAAATGTTGCAGCCARTTCGACAGAAAACAGGAAACACTGAAAGATGCTGTTCTGGTTTGTGAGCAGCCAAACTGTTGCATATTTCAGAGCACGGCTGATTTTTTTCTGTAAGTACGTTGTTTTTTGTGTTCTCCTTCCTGTCACCTGTAATCGTGTTTGTGTGTCTGCACCTCTGACTTCACCTRTCCAATCACATCCATCAGGGAGGAGCGTTCTCTCTGCCGGCGGCGACCGCTCAGTCGGCGGGACGGTACACCTGCCACGCCTCCAACTCTGAAGGAAACGTGACGCTGGTGACCGACGTCAAGGTCAAAGGTCAGGCGTTTTCCACGTTCGGTCCGTCTGTCTTTAAAATCCGATTGTGTGTGTGGGTCTGAGTGGCTCAAAGAGGACGTGATTTACATTTCTGTTTCTTCGTCTTGCATCAGACAAAAGAGAAGTGGAAACCTAGACTGACGTGGATTCTTTCCTCTTTATTCTCATTTATTTTGTAACTAATGAATAGATTTTTAAAATCCTAAAACAAAACAAACATCCTCTCTAGTGTTTTATTTTGCTTACAGACTTGCTGTCATGAAAGGAAAGTGACCATACAGTTTCCAGTCTGTGTACTGATCTTCAAAGGATAATCACTGGCTGTGCATCTATAACTGATTCACTTCTAATTAAAGATARCCACCACAGTAAATCATCTCTAACAAACACAAAAATGGATGGATGTGCTCATGGATCCTGCTCCTTCCTGTATATTGACCTTTTGCAACTACGTCACCTGGAGGCGCCATGACGGATGTCCGAACCAAGGGAGGGGAGTGTTGAAGGCTTTGGTGTGGCATGAGGTTCAAAATTAAGACTATTGCACAATCAGTGGTTGCTACAAAGTTTTATTTTCAAGAAAGTTTGTCAGTGGGTGAGCAGCTTATCCATGCTAGTTGCTAGCCTCTCCAATGTAAACACCTGCTAATCCATGATAGTCACCAGAGCCTCCAATGCTAATGCCAGATTATCCACGCAAGTTGCTTGTTTTGTGTGTGAATAATATTTTTTTTGGTGGAAATTACAGATTTTAGAGACTTAAACAGTTAAAAGTCCAAAGAAGACATTTTAGCACCTTTTTAACAATTTTTACGGATAAATCTACTAAATAAGAGCAATACTAGGCTATCAGCTGTCTGMTTTTTGACTAGCCGTATAGGAGTACGACGAGTGGTCTGCCGTCTGAAATGCATGACTTTATGAGCAAAAGGTCAAAAATAGAGGAGCTGACCCAACGAAGCAGGCSACACTGTTTACATTATGAGACAGAAAAATGTAAAACAACACATCGAAATAAAAATACTTTTGGGGAAAAAACAATAAATACAGTACATAAGAGACAAATGCATCTACAAATAAAACAACCTCTCCATACATACTTACACACACACACACACACACACACACACACACACACACACACACACACACACACACACACACACA